GACTGAGCGGCGTGAGCGTGGTGATGTCGCGAAAGATGGAGCGCGAAGCACCAGAGTCAAGTGTGAAAGTGTGAAGGGCCTCAGTAGGTGCAGTACCAGAGAGAGCAGACTCACCAGCACCTGGAGCAGCAGACTCACCAGCACCTGAAGCAGCAGACGCACTAGCACCTAGAGCAGCAACCTCAATGCCCGGGTCGGGCGGGACACTCAGGTAACAGTCACCCTCAGCACTATCAACCAAAGCATACATGGCAGCAAGAATAGCATCGAAATCAAGGTCAAAGATAGCCACATTCTGCCTAAGCAGATCACCCCAGCGAGGGAGCTCAACACCATCAGGAAACTGGGCGCGCCAGGCGGCAGTCAGGCGACCGAAGCAGCGCTGCGTAGTGTGTGGCAGACCACACGTCTCCCCACGACGGCTGCCGGTGCGAAGAACGTAAGTGCAGGGACCAGCACCCCCAGACCTCCCACGCCCAGCGTACCACTCACGAAGCTGCTGGACCGACGGGGTCTCACGGGAACGCGGCTGCTGCTGGCGTTGGCTACCACCAAAGCCTCCACGCTGCGCAGCTGCACCTCGACCAGCACCACCGCCGCCGCCACCTCCACCACTACTGCCGCTGCCTCCACCACCTCCGCCGCTGCCTCCACCACCTCCGCCGCTGCCTCCACCACCTCCGCCGCTGCCTCCACCACCTCCTCCGCCGCCACTGACGCCCCCACTCCCGGTACCACCCCCACCTCCACCGCCACCCCCTCCGCCTCCTCCAGCGCCTCCGCCGCCGCCCCCGCCATCCCCTCCACCACCCTTGCCCCCCCTGCCCTTGCTGTTGCGGCGCCTCCCACTAGGAGCAGGCGCAGCCCCGACCTCCTCAGTGCCAACTAAGTCAACAGCAGCAGCAGAAGCAACAGAGGGGAGAAAGGGGACAGGGGAACACCCCTCAAAGAAAGGGGTGCGACGGTCGCCGCGAGAAGCACCTACAGCTAAGATACTCTTCTCAGCTGCAGAGAGGCGCTCCTCTAGCAGGTCGACAGTGAGCTCGGTGGGGCAGAGGGAGAGAAAGTGGTCCCTGACTGACGCAAGAGAGTCAGGGAGGCGGGTGACTAGGTAGTAAAGGGTGATGTACATGGGGGGGTGGTTCGTGAGAAGGAACTCAGTGGGAAGCGCAGAGCGGTAGCGGGCGTCACTAGTGCGGAGGTGAGTAATGAGGTCAGCGACTGTGGCAAAGGCGGCAAGGTCAGGGAAAAGGTACGGCAGCATGAGGCGACTGAGGGCAGCAGTGGCAGGGGAGGAGTAGCGCGCAACTACAGCGTCGTACGATGACTTAGCAGTCTTGTACTGGCCAAAATGCGCGCGTTCAGCAGGCGGCAGGTGACTACGAAGAGCAAGGCGAGCAACAGCGTCACGAGTGGTCCACTGCGAGCGAACAGTACTGTCAGTAGTGGCAGCAGGAGCAGTGGAGACACCAGACGTGTGATCGAAAAGGGATACCCCATCCCTAGAGTCACACTGAAGAAAGAGCTGCAAGTCGTCAACCCACACGTCAAAGTCAACTGCACGCCCCTCAGCATCAAAGGTGAGAACAGTGGGGCTAGCCATAATAGCAGTAGCAGCAGGAGCAGCAGAGGCAGCAGAAGCAGCAGTGGCAGCAGGCGCAGTGCAAGGAGAAGGGCAGCGCGGCTCGGTTCGGCAGCGCGGTTTGGCTCGGCTGCGTGGCTCGGCTGGGCGGCGCGGCTCGGCTCTTGGCGGCGCGGTGCGGCAGGAGGCGGTGCGGCGCGGCCCGGCAGCAGGCGGTGCGGCTCAGCAGGGCAGCAGGTGGCGGGGTGGCGCGGGTGCTTACCAGGGGCGGGTGCAGGGCAGGGCCGCAGCTGGCGGTTTTAGGTCAGGGCCGCGGCAGGGGGCGGCTGTAGGGCAGGGCCGCGACCGGGGGCAGCTGCAGGACAGGGCCGCAGCAGGCGGCCGTGCCGTGACGGGCGGGCCGGAACTGGCGGTCGACGGGCGGCAAGAGGGGCCGTGACGGGCGGCGAAGGGGCCGACGGGCGGCTTAGGGGCCGTGACGGGCGGCGAAGGGGCCGACGGGCGGCTAAGGGGCCAACGGGCGGCTAAGGGGCCGACGGGCGGCTAAGGGGCCGCGACGGGCGGCAAAGGGGCCAACGGGCGGCTAAGGGGCCGACGGGCGGCTAAGGGGCCGACGGGCGGCTAAGGGGCCGACGGGCGGCTAAGGGGCTGTGACGGGCTGCTAAGGGGCCGACGACGGGCGGCTAAGGGGCCGTGACGGGCGGCGAGAGGGGCCGACGGGCGGCTAAGGGGCCGACGGGCGGCTAAGGGGCCGACGGGCGGCTTAGGGGCCGACGGGCGGCTAAGGGGCCGACGGGCGGCTAAGGGGCCGACGGGCGGCTTAGGGGCCGACGGGCGGCTAAGGGGCCGACGGGCGGCTAAGGGGCCGACGGGCGGCTAAGGGGCCGACGGGCGGCTAAGGGGCCGTGACGGGCGGCGAAGGGGCCGACGGGCGGCTAAGGGGCTAGCGACGGGCGGCAAAGGGACCGCGACGCGTGGCGACGGGCCAGCGACGGGTATCTAAGGCAGGGCGCGATGCGCGCTTCGGGCAGGGCAGGAGAAATTTCGTGGTGGGCCCTATAAAAAAAACGTTCCCACTAGGGAACCTGCTCAGAATACCATGTTAGAATCAGGAACGGAATTGGTGAACTAGAAAGCAGGTGGGTACAAGTAGGAAACACAAAAGTGTTGTACCCTCTAAGAACTACCCCACTACATCCTAAACATACTATAGCATATATAAGTTTGACACTACTACCAGGGCGCTACCCGCATGGCTGTTGAGCGGTGCATCGGTGCATTCAAGGGTCGTTGGCTTCTCTTCGCCGGACGCAACGATTGCAAGCTATGGCGGGTGCTCGCTGGCGCCTCGTGCTGCGTCATCCAGCACAACATGTGCGAGAATATGGCAACTGTGAGGTGCACAAACATGGCATGGACCAACTTGCCACAAAACTGAGATCTATGGTGGACAAGGGTGGCTATTCTGGAACATAAGTGGGAACCATGCATTCCCTGCACGCAGCCGGCTTTGAGGGAACGGCGGAAACGGTTAAGAGAGGCGCTACATAATTCTTACCTCAGTCGTCGTCGCCGCACACCCATATCTCAACATCGTCCTCATATGGGTTGACGGTGTTGACATCGCCACTCTCGCCGCGATTTTGACTCGCATCTTGAGGTTCGGATGCTGGCGCACGACGATCGGGGGGTGGTGCTGATGCAGAGCGAGGCGGCGGCGGAACGTCATTGAACAGATTACGTGCGGCATGTGGAGGAGCTGATTTGGCTGAAGTCGGTGTCTCCTGAGAAGGAGGGGCTGTAAGAGGGTGTGGCAAGGGGCGTACTTTAGTTAGCAAGCCACATATGATTGCTATCGTGAGATGATGTTGATTAGAAACCATTCGAAACAAAGCACATGATTTTTATCCGAATACGAATGAAATCACGTGGAGAAACAAGGCACCTGTGAATGTAGGCGTTGATGTGCCCGGTTGAGTGGAGGTCGGCACCTCCATACCGGCCTGCACGTTGACATTAGTTGCACCACCACCGTCGACTGCATGCGGGTCCGCAGTGGCGGTGTCTTTGTTGTACAGTTCCATGTAGGGCCACCAGGGTGGTTTTGCCACCGATCCGTTTCCAGACCCGCCATCACCATGTCGAAGTGCTTTCCAGAGGAGCATCAGATTGTGCCATTGCTTCTGCAGCGCGTTGTCCCCCCGGATCCAGTCAGGGTTCTCCTTAATATGAGCGAGAAGGCGTGCCCAATACTGCGCGCCCTGCTTTCCTTTGAGCGGCTGGAACTCATCCTTCGTGAACCAGCGTGCGGCAACGAAGATGGGGAAGCTTCCGGGGCGTGCGACCGCTTTTTCGCCGGCGCTGGGGAAGCTTCCTTCGCTGGAGCTTTGCCCTTGTGCTGTGATGCGGGGGTTGTCTTGCTCGCGGACCGTTTAGACGGCGGTGTCACAGGTTGGGTCTCTTCATCCGCGACGTCGTCGACGTCGTCGTCACCTTCCTCTTCCTCCGACTCCCCGTCATCATCCTCCTCGTCTTCGTCATCGTCGGTGCCAACTGCATAGCCGCGGTAGTCGGAGTCTGTCTCGTCTTCCTCCGCATCATCAGCCAGGCAATGCGATGTTGCAGACCTGGTAGACGGACGCCACACTCGAGACGGACCCGCGGGTGGCGACTGTGCACTAGAACCCTCGGGGCGTGGCGCAACTTGCGCGGATAATCTGGTGCGATGACGGCCGTTAGCAATTTGCTCGTTCATCCACCGTATGTAGGGAATATCTTTCAGATCCATGGGGCACTTGTCGCTGTTGTCACGGTCGTGGCCCTTACGCTTCCGAGCCATGGCTTCGTCCTACTATGTTCTAGATCTAGCTGTGATACAATAGTTCCAACCGATTGAGTGAAATTGCAGTTACCAGGGGTGTGGTACTTCACAGGGAATGGAGGGCGCGAAAAACGAGAAGAGGGGGAACGTGCATTGAGCCCTGGCGGGAGACCATCGGGCATGACATGCGCAGGAATGTCGAGATGTTTTCGTGCCCCTAACAACCAATCCCTGCTTGTTGTGTTCACTCGTGTGAAAATTTCGAGCTGTAACTAGTATCCAGATACAGAATGTTGGGCCCGACATTTGGGACCGCGTGCGATGGCAGGTCCTTGAAGCGGTTGTGTGCAATTGGTGGGCGACAATTCCGAGGTTCACGACTTTTGAGACGTCTCAAAAGTTCCGAGGTTCACATTATCCAATGATACATGCACTAGATGACATTCACACGCGGTCTGGATTTCCGACACATGGCAGCATATGCTGTAAGTACGCGTCACAATCGGTTGCGACGCATTCTTAAGGGACATGTCCACAGCGGAATGTACCCTAAACCCTTGCGAACCCCCTCGTAAACCCCGTTACCACACACCCCTCCTAGAGCACCAGATCAGGCAGCAGCAGCTGCTGCTCCCTCTCCTCCTCGTCCTCCTCATCCATCTGCCTCAGTTCCGCAATTCTCTCCCTCCACATCCCCTCCACCACCTTCCACGTCTCGTCGCTCACAGCCTGCACCTGCTGCGGCCGCGGCGCTCCAAAGGTGGCGTAGCCGGAGTTGCCCGGGTGGAAGGTGGCTCGCCCGGGGAGGGAGGCACCGTGAATGCCCCACCTGCCGGTGTGGACTAGCACTGCGTATTCGTCAATAGCTGGTACTGGGGGCTAATGGGGGGGGGGAGTGGGGGAAAACGGGGGGGGAGTGGGGGGCAAGGGATGCCAGGATAGAGGGAATGGGGTGAATGGAGGGGGCAGGGGGAATGGAGGGGGCAGGGGGTATGGAGGGGGGTAAGGAGAAGAATGAGCGCCAAAGGTGGCGTAGCCGGAGTGGCCCGGGTGGAAGGTGGCTCGGCCTGGGAGGGAGGCCCCGTGAATGCCCCACCTGCCCTGGTGGACTAGCACTGCATACTCATCGATAGGTCGCACTGGGGGCTGGTGGGGTATGGGGAGGAGGGGGGAGTTGGTTTGGGGGGGCATGCGGTATGGAGTGAGATTCAGGAATGGAGATGGGATGGGGATGGAGAGGCGACGGGGAAGGAAGGAAGCCGGAAGGAAAAAGAATGTGCAGGGTGTTATCAAGAATTCTCAAAAACACCCTGCTACATCAACTTCCAACGGACCTAACACGCACACCTGCAACTAAGAAACACACATATCACAAGCACATACCTGGGGGAACTTGGGAGCAGCATCATAGATCCTGTGAATGGCGTCTCCTGTCACCTCGCCCTCCTCCAACAGACGCTCTGAGTGGGTTAAGAGGGGTGGTGTGCGGTTGAGGGGGTGGTATCCGGTTGAGGGGGGTAAGTGTTGTACGGGGTTGTTAGGGGGGTTATGTGTGGGTAGGGATGGAAGAATGGTGGCACAAGAGAGGGTATAATGGGCGGAGAAGCAGAGAAGATGCTGTGGATGGCGTCTCCTGTCACGTCGCCCTCCTCCAACAGGCGCTCTGAGTGGGTTCAGATCAGAGGGGTGGTGTGCGGTTGAGCGGGGAGGTGTGCGTGTGAAGAGTAAAGTTATGGGTTAGAGGGTGGGGCTGTGGGGAAAAAAGGAGAATGCTGTGAATGGTGTCTCTTCTCCTGTCACGTCACCCTCCTCCAACAGGCGCTCTGAGTGGGTTCAGATCGGAGGGGTGGTGTGCGGTTGAGGGAGGAATGTCTAGTTACGAGGTGGTTAGGGGGGCTATGTGTGAGTGGGGTTTGGAAGAGAGCTGGGCCAGAGGAGGGTAAGACGGGTGGAGCAGCAGAGAAGATGATGTTAAGGAGGGGAAGAGGGGTTGGTTGGTGGATGGGTGGGGAGCACGAGGGGGTGGAGGTGGGAGGGGGGAGGGATGGGTGGAGTGGAGTGTAGGGGTTTTTAGGGGGGATGGGGGGGTATTCCTACCTGCGATGGTGTCTACAGCCGATCTGTACTCCTTAAGAACAGCCTCGCATTTCGCCTTGGAGTAGCGCATGTACTCTTCCCTTAGAGCGATGACCTTGGGAATGAGCTGTATGGGAGGACGATGAGAGGAGAGGAGAGGAGTGGAGAGGAGTGGAGAGGAGTCGAAGAACGGAAAAACAAACGAGTGCTTGTTATTCCTACTTTGGAGAAAATGGGGGCACAATCAATACGGCCTTAGAAAATGGGGGCACAATCATGCAGGGTAATCGCAAGGCACTCACATGAGGCATCAGGTCCTTCTGCGTCTCGTAAACCACCTTCCGCAAGCAAAGCGCTCATGCCCTCATAGCTGCCTCCCTCCCTCCCACACACCATGTATGAACACTCACATGAGGCATCAGGTCCTTCTGCGTCTTGTAAACCACCTTCCCCAGGGCGCTCATGCCGCTTCTCAGGATGACATAAACCACTGCATGTATGCTATTATTATATATACATGTTGAAATATATATATATGTATATGTATTATAGCATGAATACACTCACATGCGGCATGAGGTCCTTCTGTGTCTCGTACACCACCCTCCCCAGAGCGCTCATGCCGCTCCTGAGGATCATATACACCAGTGCGTATATTCATAAACCCGAAACCCGAAACTCACATGCGGCATAAGGTCCTTCTGCGTCTCGTAAACCACCTTCCCCAGGGCGCTCATGCCGCTCCTGAGGATGACATAGTCTGCCAGTTGAACCGCCTCTCTGTACGCCACCCCTGCTTGCCAGCTCACATTGGCCGCTCCAAACACCATGCGCTCCATGATGGCAGCTGTAAGGCAGGTGGGGAGAAAGGAGCAGCAGGGAGTGGGGCGAGCAAGTCAGGCAAGTGCCGTTTCTCGGGATCGCCTAGTCCGCCAGCTGCACCACCTCTCTGTACGCCACCCCTGCTTGCCAGCTCACATTGGCCGCTCCAAACACCATGCGCTCCATAATGGCTGCTGCACGGGGAAGGGGAGAGAGGGAGGGAATCAGTGAAACCGCAGGCAGGGAATGGGGGAAACAGCCGCTCCTCTGTAGGGAATGGGATGACATAGTCTGCCAGTTGAACCGCCTCTCTGCAGCCCACCACCACCCTCAGGATGACAGAGACCGCCAGCTGCACCACCTCTCTGCACGCCACTCCTGCTTGCCAGCTGAGAGGGAAGGGAAGGTGTGTAGGGTAGGGCCCACCACCACCCTCAGGATGACAGAGTCCGCCAGCTGCACCACCTCTCTGTAGGCCACCCCCGCCTGTCAGCTCACATTGGCAGCGCCAAACACCTTTCTCTCCACTAGAGCAGCTACTTGGGAGGGTGTGAAGAGGATCAGGGGAGAGATGCAAGGGAGTCAGCAAGTGGATACTGGATGACACAGTCCGCCAGCTGCACCACCTCTCTGTACGCCACCCCCGCCTGCCAGCTCACGTTCGCAGCTCCGAACACCATTCTTTCCATTATAGCAGCTGCTCAGGGAACAAGGAAGAGGGGGAGGGGAGAGGGGAGTGGAAACGGAAGAGGGAAATTGGGGTTGCGGGGGTGGGGGGACAGGGAAACAGTTCCTCTGGATGACATGGTCAGCCAGTTGAACCGCCTCTTTGTAGGGGACCCCTGCCACCCCTGCCTGCCAGTGCTAGCTCACATTCGCCACTCCAAACACCATACTCTCCATACTCACGTGCATGGTAGCGTCCAGCATGCCCTGCTTGCTAGACGGCAAAGCAGCGGTGGCGCGAACAGAGATGCTCTTACCATAACAAAACCACACAAAACTCCCCTGGACCGCTCTTAAAAGGCCCAAAACTACAGCAGAACCCCCCAAACCGCACTGAACTCCTGCTACTCACGTGCGAAGGCGCGCACGATAGCGTCGAGCATGTCCTGCTTGACGGCAAAGCAGCGGTGGCGCACCCTCTCGTGCTCCATGTTGGGGAGAGGATCAACGTTGTCCAGAGAGGTCTGACGGAAGGGGAGGGGCGGAGAGAGGGTGGGGAAAAAGGGGTGAGGCATTGTGTGGAGGACATCCAGCGGTGGCGCACCCTCTCGTGCTCCATGTTGGGGAGAGGATCCACGTTGTCGAGAGAGGTCTGCTAAAGGGAGGGAGAGGGAAGGGAAGGAGGAGAGGCAATGTTGAAGGGCGTCTGGTGCAAAGCAGCGGTGGCAGAAACTCTCGTGGGAGAGGATCCACATTGTCGAGGGACGTCTGAATGGGAAAATGGGGAACGGTGAGAGGGGAATGGGAAGGGAACCACGGGGAGGGAAGAGGCAAGGTTGATAGGTGTCCGGTTGGCAGGGCTTCAGCGGTGGTGCACCCTCTCATGCTCCACGCTGGGAAGAGTGTCCACATTGCTGAGAGAGAGGTCTGACGAGACCGACATATGTGCACGCACACACGCACACACGCTCAAACACGGTGCGCGCGCGTAGCGAGGTTGTTTTTGAGATGTCTCAAAAACAACCTCGCTACACGTGGCACACATTCGAATCAAGCTTGACTTGGCAGCAGCAGAAGCGCACACTCAAACCAGTGCTCACCCTATCAATCAACCCTGCTCTGTCTGGCAGTGCGCACTCGGGCCCAGCGATGGAGGCCTCATGGTAAGCACACCAGAGGCAAGCACATGAACACACACACACACACACACACACACACACACACACACACACACATACACACACACACACACACACACACACACTCTTGATCGGGCCTGATATGTCCGGCAGGGCGCACTCCAACACAGCGATGGAGGCTTCACGGTAAGCCAAGCACAGGCATGTACTCAGACACGCATACCCTAGGCCCAGAACAGACAACCAGAACAGACAACCAGAACAGACAACCAAAACACAATCAAACCAGCACTTACCCTCTTAATCGGCCCTGATCTGTCTGGCAGGGCGCACTCCAGCACAGCGATGGAGGCCTCGCGGTAAGCCGCTCGCATGCGCACCTCCCGGCTGTCCAACACGTCCTCCTCTCCGGTTTTGAACTCGCCCGCTTGCTGCAAGGGACAAGGGGAACACAAGTGGGGCAAGGTAGGAGTAGGGTAAGGGTTATGCCGTGCGGTAAGCCGCCCGCATGCGCACCTCCCGGCGGTTCAACACGTCCTCCTCCCCCGTCTTGAACTCGCCCGCTTGCTGCAGGCACGGATCGCACGGGGGGGGGGGGGGGGGGGGAGGGGGGGGGGGGGGCACGGGGAGCACAAGGAAGCGGGCAGGGGATTAGGATAGGGGGTATGAGCCCATGTGGTAAGCCGCTCTCATGCGCACCTCCCTGCTGTCCAACACGTCCTCCTCTCCCGTCTTGAACTCGCCCGCTTGCTGCAAAGGGCAAGGGGGAACACAAGGAGGGTAGGATAGTAAGGGGAGAAGCAAGGGGGTTGAGGCTCTGTGGTAAGCCGCCCGCATGCGCACCTCCCCGGCTGTCCAACACGTCCTCCTCTCCCGTCTTGAACTTGGCCGCTTGCTGCACACATGAAATGCACGATGGGGGCACAAGAGAATACAAGAGGGGCAAGGGAGTTATGTGACACGAGCCCCTGCTGTAAGCCGCTTGTAAAAAGAGTAGTTTTGAGACGTCTCAAAAAACATACACTTGTAAAAAGAGTAGTTTTGAGACGTCTCAAAGCTACTCTTTTTACACGTCGCAACGGAGTCATCATGTGACATGAGCCCCTGCTGTAAGCCGCTCTCATCTCATAAGCACTTCCCGGCTGTCCAACACGTCCTCCTCCTCTCCCGTCTTGAACTCTCCGGCTTGCTGGAAGCGACAAGGGGGAACACAAGAGGGGCAAGGTAGGGGTAGGGTAAGAGTTAAGCCATGCAGTAAGCCCCTTTCACCTGCACCTCCCACCTGCCCAACACGTCCTCCTCCGAATTGCTAGCACCGTTAATATACATAGAGAACCCTACTTTGACCTGGTCAACGCGTGGCCCCCCACAGTCAGACCCACCCAGTCAATTCTCTGCAGCGGCTCCTCCTTCTCAATCTCATCCCTGTCCTTCCGAGTGTCTGACACCTCAAAGAACCCTGCTTTGACCTGGTCAACCGATTCCCCCCCCATCCCCCACAGTCAGACTCACCCAGTCAATAGCTTGCAGCAGCTCCTCCCTCTCAATCTGGTTCTTATCCTTTCGAATCCCTAAGACTGCTTTTTGAGGCGCCTCAAAAATCGAATCCCTAAGACTGCTAATACGTCTACAGCACCATGCTTTGACCTGGTCAACCCCTCTCCGACGCACTCACCCGGTCAATGACTTGCAGTAGCTCCTCCCTCTCAATCTCATCCTTGTCTTTTCGAGTGCCTATTGCCCTCTTAGAGCCTGCTTTGACCTGGTCAACGCCCCCCCCCCCCCCAACTACTCACCCGGTCAATGGCTTGAAGCAGCTCCTCCCTCTCAATCTCATCCTTGTCTTTTCGAATGGCTAGAATGGCAGCCTCGTTGCTGCCAGCGGTGTGAGGGTGTGGGGAAGGGAGGAATAGGGTGCAGACAGGTGGGAAGGCGTAAGAATGGGTGGCTTGCAGCAGCTCATCCCTGTAAACCTCATCCCTGTGCTTCCGAATGGCTAGGATGATGGCTTCGTTGCTGCCAGCGGTGTGAAGGGGCAAGGAGGGGTGGGGAGGGGTTTGGAAGGGGTGGCAAGGGGTGACAAGGGATGAAAACGGGGAGCATAATGGGGTAAGGCAGGATGTAATGCAACGAGATGGCGTTGCCAAGAGTGGTGTGATGTGATGGAGTGAGAAGGGGTGGCAAGGCTGGCTTGCCGCATGCATGTGTACTGAGTCGACTCAAAACACGTGAGGAGGGGCGGTAAGGCTGGTTTGCTGCATGCATGTGTACAGTGTGTGCCACTGCCGTGTGTGTACTACAGTGTGTACCTCGTTACTATCATTGTTATCACCTTTTTTACTGCAGCTCACACCACTGCTGCTGCGGATAAATATTTTCATAACACATTCAGTCGAATACTCACAGGATATTCATAAGCTCGGCTCCACAGTAGTTGGGTGTAGCACCAACGGCTATCTCTCTCAGGAGGAGCATTCTTAAGCCCGGTCGAGCAGCAGCTGCGGCTGCGGCTATAAATGGAAAACATTCCCGAAATAACTTACAGGATGTTCATAAGCTCGGCTCCACTGTAGTCGGGTGTAGCAGCGGCTATCTCCCTCAGGAGCTTCAGCTTCTCCTCTTCCGACTTGAACGCCTTGTTGCGCGCATGCACCTTAACGAGGAAGACAATAACGGGGATAAAGTTGACAGAATATCAGAGAGGGGCAAGGGGGAGGAGGAGGGGGGAGGGGGGGAGAGAGCTTCAGCTTCTCCTCTTCTGACTTGAACGCCTTGTTGCGCGCGTGAACCTTAAAAGGGAAGACAATAACGGGGATATAGGGGAGAAGCAGGGGAAAAGGGAGCTTCAGACTTGAATGCCTTGTTGCGCGCGCGCACCTTAACGGGGAAGGCAACAGTGGGGATATGAGGAAAGCGGTAATAAGGAGAACAAGGGGAGGGGAGGCGGTGGGAGGGTGTGGAGAGAGGAAGAAGTGGGGAGAGACGGGGGAGAACTGTCCCTCCTCCGTGGCAGCCCCACGCACACCACCTTGCCGAAACCAGCCATGGAACAGCTTTCTCCTGAACCCACATGAGCGATCAACATGCAACATTATCTTCTTGATCTCACCTTCAGTCTTCAGGGCACAACTCGTTCTCACTTTGAGCACTGAGAATCGCCCCTCCTCTGTGGGCAGCCCCACGCGCACCACCTTGTCAAACCGCCCCTTGTTTAAGGCAAGGCGTAAAATAGGGCAAAGCAGCCCTCTCAATGCACATACATGAGAAGTAAACACACTCACTCATACCTTGAGCACTGAGAATCGTCCTTCTTCTGTGGGCAGACCCACGTGCACAACCTTGTCAAACCGCCCCTTGCAGTTGAAGGCAACGTGAGGGACAAGCCAAGGGCAAGCAATCCTTCCATTCCAGCGTGCATGTATGCATGAGAGAACCAGACACACGCATTCGTACCTTGAGCACTGAGAACCGCCCCTCCTCTGTGGGCAGCCCCACGCGCACCACCTTGTCAAACCGCCCCTTGCGCAGCAACGCTGGGTCCAGCATGTCCAGTCGGTTAGTGGCACCAATGACCAGCACCTAGAGGGGAGGAGAGTAATGGGGGGGAACAGGGGGGGATATGGGAGACGAACGTCAGGGCAACAGAGGGTCAGCAGCGCTGGATCGAGCATGTCAAGACGGTTGGTGGCCCCGATGACCAGCACCTGGAGGGGAAGGTAGAGGACAGGGAGGGGGCAAAACAGGGGGAAGGGCGGCGGAAGACAGGGGGGAGATGGGGGGAGAGGATGGATTAATCAGCCCCTCGCGCACCACCTTGTCGAACCGCCCCTTGACGGTTCGTAGCGCCGATGACCAGCAGCACCTAGAGGGAATTAGCAGGAGGAAAAGAGGCGGGCGGGGCAGGATGGGGGGAGAGGATGGGATAAAGGAGCACCAACTTGTCAAACCGCCCCTTACGCAGCAGCGCTGGGTCGAGCATGTCCAGTCGGTTGGTGGCACCAATGACCAGCACCTGGTGGGGAGTAGCAGAGGGTAGGTGGGGTGGGGGGGTGTCACAGAGGGATTGGGCCTCTAGAGGCCCCCTTGCGCCACCTTGTCAAACGGCCCCTTGCGCAGCAGCGCTGGGTCGAGCATGTCCAGTCGGTTGGTGGCACCAATGACCAGCACCTGGTGGGGAGTAGCAGAGGGTAGGTGGGGTGGGGGGGTGTCACAGAGGGATTGGGCCTCTAGAGGCCCCCTTGCGCCACCTTGTCAAACGGCCCCTTGCGCAGCAGCGCTGGGTCGAGCATGTCCAGTCGGTTGGTGGCACCAATGACCAGCACAGGAGGGTACATGGGTCTGCATGGGGGCAAGCAGCAGAGAGGGTGGGTTCATATAGCCGCTTACGCAGCAGCGCAGGATTCAGCATGTCCAGACGATTGGTGGCGCCAATGACCAGAGGGAATCAGAGGAATTCAAGACATACGTGTATGAAGATCTGTTTTGAGATGTCTCAAAACGATTGGTGGCGCCAAGCCAATGACCAGAGGGAATCAGAGGAATTCAAGACATGAGCATCCATTCCATTTCCCCCTTTGCATCTCATCGCACCTTCCCTGCTTTCCTTTCTATCATCACTGACCTTAGCTTGACCTGGTTGATTCTATCAAGTTCCCCACCCTCTCTTTTTTATTTTTACGTTTTATTTATTTATTTATTTATAAATTTATTTATAAATTTATAAATTTAATTATTTATTTATTTATTTACTTATTTCTTTCTTTCTTTCTTTCTTTCTTTCTTTCTTTCTTTCTTTCTTTCTTCCTTTATTTATTTTAATCACCCTCGATATCTCACCTCCCTATAAAGTCACGCACCTTAGCTGGCCTGGTTCTCCTGGAATCCGTCCAGCTCTGTGAGGGTCTGAATCAGCCCCTGCTCCCCCCACTGCCACACCCTCCGTCCTTTCTCTTATTTTGGTGCCACTTTCCCTGCCATCACCTGCCTCTTATATCACCTCTCCTTTCGCTACAGTCACGCACCTTGGCCTGGTTCTCCTGAAACCCGTCCAGCTCTGTAAGAATTTGAATCAGCCCCTGCTCCCGCTCGATGTTGCCCTGTATTTGCAACATCCATGCAAACAAAAGGAGAGTGGAATGGCAAAATACAAAAGGCATTTGAGCTGACCCAAAAATCAAATAATGGGAGAGTGGAAGGGAAAAGAAGGGAAGACAGAAAAGAGAGGAACAAAAAACAAGCTGCTGAAGCATGTGGGGAACCAAGAAAAGGAACAACCAACGAGAAAAAAAAAACATCACCAAATAACGATGGCATCGATTTCATCAATGAAGATGATGGCCGGAGCCAACCACTGCCACCCACACTCCCAACCCCACACTCCCTCCCCCCTCCCATCACTCGCTCACCCCTCCCTGGTCGCTGGCCGTGCCTCGCTTCGACCCGATCGCATCGATCTCATGAATGAAGATGATGGCCGGAGCGAACTGCCCCACTCCCTCCCACCCCCACTCTCTCCCTCACTCCCTCCCTCCCTCCCTCCCTCCCTCCCTCCCTCCCTCCCTCCCCCCACGCACCCTGCCCTGGTCGCTGGCTGTGCCTCGCTTGGAGCCAATGGCATCGATCTCATCAATGAATATGATGGCCGGCCGGAGCGAACTGGGAGGATATGTATTCTACCACAAACCTCTGCCACACTCCCACCCCCACGCTCTCCCTCACTCACTCGCTCCCTCACTCGCTCCTTCACTCGCTCCCTCACTCACTCCCTCATGCTCTCCCTCACTTGCTCCCTCACTCCCTCCCTCATTCCCTCCCTCATTCCCTCACTCCCCTCACCCACGCACCCCGCCCTGGTCGCTGGCTGTGCCTCGCTTGGACCCAATGGCATCGATCTCATCAATGAATATGATGGCCGGGGCGAACTGGCGCGCCCGAAAGAATAAGTCCTTGACCCTAGAGGCTGCAACTCCTGCGAACATCTGGTGAATGGGGTGGAGGGAAAGGCAGTGAGGGGCGGGGGAGGGGGAAAAGACAGCGGGAGGCAGAGAGAGGCAGGCATCGATCTCATCAATGAATATGATGGCCGGAGCAAACTGGCGCGCTCTGAAGAATAAGTCCTTGACTCTTGACGCTGGGATCCCCGCTCACCCTTCCGAACCCACAAGCACACCTCTATATACTCAGCACCAGAGACAGAGAGAAACAGCACCCTTGCTCAACCTTCCACACCCCCACAAACTCACCTCCACGAATTCAGCACCAGAAACCGAAAAGAACGGCACTCCTGCCTCTCCAGCAATGGCCTTCGCCAGAAGCGTTTTTCCAGTTCCGGGCGGGCCAAACAGAAGCACGCCTTTCGGGCAGTACACGCCCAGGTCCTCAAATTCTTTGGCTGCCCGAAGAATTCGCACCACCTCCTGCAGCTCTCGCTTCACGTAATCCTGCCCGGCAAAATCGTCAAAAGTGATTCCTGTCTTCTCCTCTGCTGATATGTACCGTGCTCTGAGATTTGAAAGAAGGAAAAGGGGGAAGAAAGGGGGTTGAATGGGGTGGGGAGCGGTGAGATGAGGTGGAGAGGGGTGGGGCGTGGTGCAGTGCGGTGGAGAGCGATGGAGCAGATGGGGAATCCGCACCACCTCCTGCAGCTCTCGCTTCGCGTAATCCTGCCCGGCAAAATCGTCAAACGTGATTCCCGTCTTCTCCTCTGCAGAAATGTACCATGCCCTGTTGGTTGAAATCGAGAGGAGGGAAGTAAGGGGTTGAATGGGGTGGGAAGAGGTGTAATGAGTTCAAGGGCGGCGGGGCGTGGTGCAGTGCGGTGAAGAGCGGTGGGGCGTGGTGATGAATCCGCACCACCTCCTGCAGCTCTCGCTTCATGTAATCCTGCCCGGCAAAATCGTCAAACGTGATTCCTGTCTTCTCCTCTGCTGCTATGTACTGTGCTCTGAGATTTGAAGAAGGAAAGGGGGGAAGAAAAGGGGTTGAAAGGGGTGGGGGGTGGTGAGATGCGGGGTGGGGCATGGTGCAGTGCGGTGGAGAGCGGTGGGGCGGGTGGGGAATCCGCACCACCTCCTGCAGCTCTCGCTTCACGTAGTCCTGCCCGGCGAAGTTGTCAAACGTGATTCCTGTCTTCTCCTCTGCTGATATGTACCGTGCTCTAAGTTTTGAAAGTAGGAAAGGGGGGAAGAAAGGGGGTTGAATGGGGTGGGGAGTGGTGAGATGAGATAGAGAGGGGTGGGGCACAGTGCGGTGCGGTCGAGAGTGGTGGGGCGGGAAGAGAATCCGCTCCACATCTTGTAGCTCCCGCTTCATGTAGTCCTGCCCGGCGAAGTCCTCAAACACACTCTTCACTTGCTCCCTCACTCGCTCCCTCACTCCCTCAGCTAACTGTGGCTGCTTTTCGGCCGCTCCTCCAGCTTCGTCGGCTGAAACAGCGGAAACAGCACCCCCTCAAGAACTTCATAATACATCCAGTGACTGCCTCCCTCACTCGCTCCCTCACTCCCTCACTCGCTCTCTCACTCACTCCCACCCTCACCTGCTCTGCCCCATGGTCCCCAGGTCAGGGTTCAGCACGGCAGTCAGCTTCCTGTGGCTGCTTCTCGGCCGCTCCTCCAACTTCGTCGGTTGATACAGCAGAAACAGCACCCTCTCTAGCCCCACATACAGCCCACACGCTCCCTCCCCCACCCTGCCCCTTACCCCCTCTCACCTGCTCTGACCCATGGTCCCCAGATCAGGGTTCAGCACAGCAGTGAGCTTCCTGTGACTGCTCCTCGGTCTCTCCTCCAGCTTAGTCGGCTGGTACAGCGGAAACAGCACCCTCTCCAGCCCCACATACAGCCCACACGCCAGCGCCAATCTCAACCCCCACGTAGCCGCCAGCTGGATAGTCCCTACTGTGCTGCCTAGGAGACCAGCCGAGGAAGCCGGGAGGAGGGACGGGACGAGGGAAGAGGAGGAGGGGGGGGAGGGGAGGGCGGTTGGGGCGGGGGCTGTGGTGGCGGAGAGGGTTGAGAGGGTTGAGAGGGCGGAGGGGGTGGTGAAGGGCGCGGGGGGGAAGGCGGAGGGGTGGTTGGTGAGGGTGATGTGGGCGAGTTGGCTGCGCAGGAGGGACCAGAGCTCTGAGTGCACGTCTGCTGGCATGTGGCGCACCCTGTGCTTCAACCACACCACCTGGGAAGAGAGAGGGGAGAAGGGGAGAGCCAACAGCAGCAGCAGCAGCAGCAGCGGCGGCAACGGCGGCGGCGGCGGCAGCACAGCACACAGCAGCACAAGGGGGCGGAGGGGAAGGCGGAGGGGCGGTTGCTGAGGGTGATGTGGGCGAGTTGGCTGCGCAGGAGGGACCAGACTTCAGAATGCACGTCTGCTGGCATGTGGCGCACCCTGTGCTTCAACCACACCACCTGAGAGGAGAGAAGAGGGGACAGCACGCACGTCTGCTGGCAGTGAGCAGGAGAGACCAGAGCTCGGAATGCACGTCTGCTGGCATGTGGCGCACCCTGTGCTTCAACCACACCACCTGGGAGGGATGGGAGGGAAAGGGGGTTGCACACACACCAAGAGGCGGAGCAAACAGCAGAGGGGGTGGAGCAGAGAGAGAGGAGGGGGGTAAGGGGGGACCAGACTTCTGAATGCACGTCTGCTGGCATGTGGCGCACCCTGTGCTTCAACCACACGACCTGGGAGGGACAGGGAGGGCAGCACACCCCACACAGCGGCACAGCAGCTGAAGGAGTGGGGCATAGAGGCAAGGCGAGGGCAGTGAGGAGGAGAGAGCAGACTTTGGAATGCACGTCTGCTGGCATGTGCCGCACCCTGTGCTTCAACCACACGACCTGATGGGGAGAAAAAAGGGGGGGGGAGGGACAGAAGAGAGGAGAGGAAAGAGGGGGAAGGCGAGGGTAAAAGAAAGCCCATATGCCCTATGGCCTCTGCCTCCTCCTCCCCTCACAACTCCACGTCATCTCCCACCCCACCCACCGCCCCCCACCCTTCCAAAGAGCAGATAGAGTCCAGAGGAGGACAGAGTAGACTTTACAGACGTCTCATACGATAGAGTGCACAGGAGGACAAGAGTAGAGCAGAACACAGCAGAGCAGAGCCGAACGGAGCTAATCAGAGCAGAGCAATCCATGGGGCTGTGAGGTGCGTGACCTGGTCCGGAAGGCCCATGTGATAAAGTAGATATTTGAGACGTCTCTAAGATCTACTTGGGCCCATGGGGCTGGTTTTGAGACGTCTCAAATCTACTTGGGCCCATGGGGCTGGTTTTGAGACGTCTCAAATCTACTTGGGCCCATGGGGCTGGTTTTGAGACGTCTCAAATCTACTTGGGCCCATGGGGCTGGTTTTGAGACGTCTCAAATCTACTTGGGCCCATGGGGCTGGTTTTGAGACGTCTCAAATCTACTTGGGCCCATGGGGCTGTGATGTGAGGTGCGTGACCTGGTCTGGAAGGCCCATGTGACCCACAGCCTCTCCCTCCTCCGCCCCTGCCTGCCACTTCTTGTCTCTCTAAAACTTTCCCCTTCTTCCTCGCCCCGTCTCCCCGCTTACCTGCTCTGGAAGGCCCATGTGCCCCACGGCCTCTTCACCTGCCTCCTCCCCTTCTGCTCCTCCTGCTGCTCCTTCTGCTGCCTTTTTCGCTGCTTGTCGCTCTGCCTCTTTCCCCTTCCTGCTCGCCCACTCTCCCCGTTTCACCTCCAGACCAAGGTCTTTGGCAGGGTGGGGGAGAATCACTGGTGGGGGTTGGAAAGGAAGGGGAATGGAGGAAGTATGGTAAGTGGTCATTCTGCTGCCCCTGGCGCTGCTTGTCGCACTGTCTCTTTCCCCTTCCTCCTCGCCCCCTCTCCCCGCTTCACCTCCAGCCCAAGGTCTTTGGCAGGGTGCGGGAGAATCACTGGCGGGTATTGGAAAGGGGGGAGAATGGCGGATAAATGGTAAGTGGCCATTCTGCTGCCCCTGGCGCTGCTGGTCTCACTGTCTCTTTACTGAGACGATTTTTGAGGCGCCTAAAAAAGGGCGGATAAATGGTAAGTGGCCATTCTGCTGCCCCTGTCGCTGCTTGTCGCACAGTCTCTTTCCCCTTCCTCCTCGCCCCCTCTCCCCGCTTCACCTCCAGCCCCTAGTCCTTGGCAGGGTGCGGGAGAATCCCTGGCTGCGAATACCAAAAGGGGGGGCAGGGGGAGAGGGAGGGGGCGGATGAGCAGGGGTAGAGGAGAGGCGGGGGATGGTGGAAAAAAGGGTTCAAAAAGGGGGGCGCATGGAGAGAGCAGCGAGGCTTCTCTGCAGCTGCAGCCCTCAATCCCTTCACAGAGGGGGGGGGGGGGGGTGGGGTGGGGGGATCACTGGCAGCGAATACAGGAGGCCCGAATGGCGGAATACAGGGGGCCCGTCTGATTTTTCAGTCCTTCCATTCTCTACTCCTACCCAGCTACCTTCCACAAACCGGCCGTTATCGCCGTAGTTGACAAAATTCACCCTCCCCGTCTGCAGCAGCGCCCAGAAATCCCAGAACAAGTGACAAGTCCATTTATCATGTGCTATGCTTCCTCCTTCTCACCTTCCACGAATCTTCCATTATCCCCATAATTGACGAATTTCACCCTCCCCATCTGCAGCAGCGCCCAGAAATCCGCAAAGTCCATGTCAGCACCAGGCAGAGGGTCCCACTGGCTGCCGCGGAGCCTTCCCAGAAGCTTCTTCACCGCCCGCTTCCACCCGATCCTCGCCACCTCGTCCCGCTCTGCCTGGATCCGAAGCTGCCTCACAACTTCCTCCTGCTGATTAAAACTTTCCAGCTGACGTTTCCTTAACGCCTGAGGAGGGAGCGGAGCAAAGGAGAAGGAAGGTTCGGCAGGTATGGAAATGAAGGGGGTGGGGGTGGGGGGGGGGAGAGGGTGGAGGGTGGAGGGGAGGGGGGATTAGGTGCGTTTGAGTGGTTGCGGAACGAGAAAGTCACCAATCCCTCCCTCAGATGTCTATCCGATGTCCCTCAGAGTAATTTGAGAATCGTCAAGAGCACCAACTCACCTGCCGCTGTTTTTGAGGCGCCTCAAAAATCGCCTCAGATGTCTATCCGATGCCCCTCACGAGTGATTTAAGAATCTTCAACAGCACCAACTCTCCTGCCGCTGCCCGTTACCCATCTTGCATCATCAAACCCTCTCTAAACCCTCGCCATTGACGTCTGTCCGCTACCGTCACCTGCTGCCTCGTCTTTTGCCCTTCGCACGGCCTATGCGAAGTTCGCCTATGCGAAATTCGTCTATGCGGGATTTCGCCAGTGCGAAATCCTCGAAAGTGCTCCGCTCACCTCGAACAACGCGAGCTGCTTGTCGTCTTCCATCACCGCCCGTCCCTTCGCCTCGGCAACTCCCGAACCTAGAGCTGGCTCGGCTGCTGCTGCCGAGCCTGAGCCCGAGCCTGATGTCGAGCCTGCCTCGGCACGGGCGGTGAGTCTGGAACGAGTGAGTTTTTGGGATTGACGCCCATGCAGAGCTGGTCGAGTGACTGTACGCGGAGTGCTTGTAACGAAGGTTGAACTGCTCGATCCGACATTGCAAGAGGTCGTACGCTTTACAACCGCGAGTGGCAGAGATTGAGCAATCGAACTCGATACAAGCAGGTGCCTACAAGCGCCGCAAGAAACGTTCGGTTTCACATTGAACGGTGTAGGAAAACGACGAGATGGCACTGGTGCTGCGATCACTGGCGACTGGACGACAATGTGTGACACTGACAACGATCGCGAGGCCGCCATTGCGATCTACTTTCGCGACGCGACACCGAGGAGGGAGACCTCAAAACCGCGAAACTTAGGATCTGCTATTCGCGTCTCTGGTATCATGCGAAGCCGTCCCGCTCAGCAGTGAGCCGCGGAGAACCGTTGAGCACGAGAAGGTGCTCGGAAGCGGTTCGTTACCGCCTGATAAGGCGATAAGGAGCAGCGATTCCCGCCGTAACAGACGCTGAAATGTGTGTGCGGGATGGAGGATTTTCAGACTAAGGTTGGGGTGGGTGAGGTTGACAGGTCGTGTGACACTAACGGAACGGAGGATAAAGTAGGAAAGGCATATGACTGCAGTTTCAGAAACTGGTCCCTGAAACCAGGAGAAAAAAGGCTCCGATGATATTTTATAAGAACTTATATTTTAGGCAACATGATATTAGCATGACTTATTGTATACATGGTTGACGGACGTTATAACATAAACATAAACATAAACATAAACTTATGGTTTGAAAATATTCCATTTTGGAATGAACATTCATTCAGACAGGCCAACATGTTAATAAAATAATTTCCTCTAATAAACCCACGGTGTTGAGCTTCATAAGACGTTCACAAATATACAAACCTTTCTGTGCATCGTGTAGTGGAGGTGTTACATCTCCGAAGCGATTTTTCTTTTTCCGAAGCAACAGCAAACCAAACCCTAGTCGGCCCCTTCAAAACCAAAGCCGAGGTTTCTTTCGTCTCACGTCCTCCTGCGGCGAGGTCTTTAGTTGTCCGTCAGATCCGGAACGTCCACGGTTCTTAGGCTTCTCAACTTCACGGTTCTCTACTTTCTTAGCATAGGGCGTAGTTTCTGTGGCCTGCTAGGAACCGTTTCGCTCACGCTTCTGCCCTTCGCACGCCCTTAGGGGCCCGATCTTTGCGTCTGGGAAAGGGACCCCTAGTTTCGTCAACATGCCTTCCGTGGTGAATATCGCGGAAGCGGCAGAAGCGGCGAAGCGAGTCGCCGCCGCCTTTATGGCGGCGCGCGCTTCCGGCCAGTCCGAGGAGCAAGCCGCTGCCGCCGCGTCGTCCGTAGCTAACCCGGAGCCGGTTAAAACGCCGTCTTTCGTCATTCCCAAGAACAAAATCTCGATCCCAGGGCAATCGTTGGCGATCGTGCCTGTCGGGGGAAGCGTTACGAAAGCTGGCGAGGAGGCGGAGGATGATAAGCCGAGACGCCCTCGGAAGTACCGATGGGGACCAGATCCGCTTTTGGATCCCGCGACGCGAAGGGGTCGCGCGCTGGCCATTCAGGTACGCCGTCGGTGTTTGAGCCTAGATGGTTCTAAGTATATATATGAAATTAAAGACTTCTTAGAAGCCGTGGAAGTGATATTAGGGTTCTGAGATGTTTTTAAGAGCTAGGAAGTCGGTATTCCTCGCTTGGTGTTGTTTTAGAACTTGGACTGATTTCAGAGCGCAAATTGATATCCCTTTTTTCTCGTTGATTGCGATAGATGAATTTTTTGTTATATGCCCCATCCGTTTTTAAGTACCTGCAGACGCGAGTCGAGCAGATCTCGTCGCAACTGGATCTCAACACGCTGGAGATCGACGAGAATGAAGTCACGCGCTCTCCGTTCCGGTTGATATTTTTTCATTTTTATATCCGTTCTTATCCTTCTTTCTTTCTCTTGTTTCCTGCAGACGCGTATCGAGCAGATCTCGTCGCAGCTGGAGCTGAACACGTTGGAAATCGACGAGAATGAGGCCACGCGCTCGCCGTCCCCGCCGCCGATCTACGACAACATGGGACAGCGCCTCAACACCCGCGACGTATGTTACCGTCTTTACCTGTCTGTCAGCACCGAGTTGATTTTTCCTTATTATTGTTTTCTAATTTATTGATTGTTTGAATCAATCGTTCGTCTACGACAGCACGGGCCAGGAAGTCACACCGCGACGTACACGTATCGTTTCTAACAACTCAACCGGCATTTTTCCAGTATTCCTGTCCATTCGTGATCCTTCCGAGGTTTTCTGCTTGCCGTGCGAAGGGATTAGGTTGAGGATTTTTAGACTCGTCTGTCCTAAATTCGCTGATACCGATGTTTTGCCTCTCTTTTTCCTTGTTCGGTTTTCTTTTTGCAGCAAAGGAAGCGCGACCAGCTTGACATTGAAAAGCGCAAAGCAATAGGTATGGCCATTTAGATTTGCATGCTCGACCTTTCCTGTTTCCCTTCGTTTTCCCACTATTGCGAAATTCGTTGGTTTCAGTGGAACTTAACAACACTGCTCGGTTGTTCCACTTCTCATGCTGTTTGTTTTTTCTTCCATTTTTTATTCCTAATTTATATTATTTTTTCGTACAGCCGAGTGTATCAATCTTAACCCCCACTTCAAGCCGCCGGCGGGTTATAAGCCCGTGCTGGAGGAGGCGAAGCTCTTCGTGCCGGTAAGTTGCAATAGCGAAGTTTGCGAAATTGCAAAAAAGCTTTTCCGCGAAGCTCCTGTTGTTTTGTATTTCCGGTATCCCGCGGGTTTTGTCGGATACGTTTCTGTCGAGTACGGTTTTCCTAGTGCAGCCTGGTCCGACTTCTGTCTCTACAGCGCAATTTTGGACATAAGATTTCAGGTTCGCAATTGGTGTGTACGCGATAGAATGAGAGTCGGTAGTATTGCAAATTTAGCCTGCTAAGTCTGAGCCAGAGAAAACCTAATTTCCACATTTCCAAACAATCCTTCTGTACTTCCCCGTGTCATGCGTTAGCCTGCTTTGCTTCGCAAGTGTTTTGCCAGTGGCGGTTGATGACATCCTTTATCGCGTACAGTTGTCCAGAAAGGCGTGGTAATTTCTTTGGCCTACACCACACCACACCACTCGATATTGATGCTTCGCCCCTTCCGTCTCATTATTGCTCTTTCGATTGGAATTCCCTGACGTGTTGGTTTTTTTGTCTCTGCTGTGTTTCTCTCGTCTCCCCTTCCCGCATGCTCTGCATCTCCCGCCCGCCTTCCCTCTTTCCCTACCCTCTTCTTTTTTTTCTTTCCCCTCCCCGCCTATTTTCCTCCCGCTCCCCTTCTCGCCCTCTCTCCCTCTCCCTGCATTTCTCCTCTCTTTCTTATCGCTCTTCCTCCTCCGCCCTCCCTTCTTCCGCCCTTCCCGCCTTCCGCCCGTCTCGCCTTCCGCGCGCCCCCCTGCCCTTCTTCCCCTGTCCGGCATGCGTCCGTCCGTCGTACCGTCCCTATCACACACGTGTGTGCGCACTACCGCCGCCCTCCGTTCAATCACGAGCAGGTCAAGCAATACCCGGGCTACAACTTCATCGGCCTCATTATAGGCCCGCGCGGCAACACGCAGAAGCGAATGGAACAGGTGAGGGCTTGTAAAGTTTGTCAAGGCTGCTTATAAGGTGTATGTTGCAGTCACGAGCAGGTCAAGCAATACCCGGGCTACAATTTCATCGGCCTCATTATAGGCCTGCGCGGCAACACTCAAAAGCGGATGGAACAGGTGAGTTACGTTCTTCCTTTTGAAATTACTTATTGCGATCATGACCTGGTCAATTATTTAGGCCTTCACCCTGCATTTATTCTGTATATTCGTGATATTGTGTTTTGGATACTTGTTTTTAAGTCATTGTTGTCTTTCAGCTTCCGTTCGCCATGCATATGTCGTCTTGTTATCTCGCTTACCACTTATGTTTTGTTGTTTTTCCTGCCGTGGTTGCAGGAAACGGGTGCTCGTATCGTGATTCGAGGAAAAGGCGCAACAAAAGAAGGAAAGGTAAGGCAGCTCGTTGCTCCTGTGTGCCCAATCGGGCAGCTCGTTGCTCCTGTGTGCCCAATCGGGCAGCTCGTTGCTCCTGTGTGCCCAATCGGGCAGCTCGTTGCTCCTGTCGCTTACCTCTCCCCTTGCATCTTCTGACACACCCTTACCTCCCTTCTTTCCTTTTTCTAACGTCTTCACTCACTTGTCTCCCTTGGATTTTCCCCACTTGTCTACCGAGCAGAAGGACAAGTACCAGGAGGGAGCGAGCGAGGATCTTCACGTTTATATCTGCGCGGACAAGCTCGAGAAGGTGGATGCTGCTGTCGATATGATCGAGCCGCTGCTCACGCCCATCGACGTGAGTAACAGGGTTACCAGGTAGTTGAGTGCGTGTAACTGGCTGGGTAAGGGAGAGCGAGGACCTGTGTGCATGACTACATCTGTGCTGACAAGTTGGAGAAGGTGGATGCTGCTGTTGACATGATCGAACCGCTGCTCACCCCCATTGATGTGAGTAATCCGTATTGGTTGCTCACAGTACAGCCATTGATGTGAGTAATCCGTATTGGTTGCTCACAGTACAGCAGCAGCAGCAGCAGCAGCAGCAGCAGCAGCAGCGGCTGTGCTTCACGTGCGTGCGGCTATTGTTGCAATTCTCATTCGACCCCTCCGTTCCTCTCTTACCTTCTCTTTTCTCGTACAACAGGAGTGGAGGAACATTCACAGGCGCAAGCAGCTGAGAGAGCTCGCGCTGATGAACGGAACCATGAAGGACGTACAGCAGGTGTGCTTCTTGTGCGGCGAGCCGGGCCACAAGGACTTCCAGTGCCCCAAGGAGAAGCTTCAGACCTTCAATGCCAAGGTCAGTGTTCGCCAGAGCTGTTAACCCGGTGGTAACCAGGTGGTAACCAGGTGGTAACCAGGTGTAGGGCAGGTGGTAGCAGCAGCAGCAGCACCGGCACCAGCAGCAGGTGTGCTTCCTGTGCAGCGAGCTGGGCCACAAGGACTTACAGTGCCCCAAGGAGAAACTGCAAACCTTCAACGCTAAGGTCGGTGTTACTTTGTGGTAACCAGGTGTAGGGCAGGTGATAGCAGCAGCAGCACCTACAGCAGCAGGTGTGCTTCCTGTGCGGTGAACCGGGTCACAAGGACTTCCAGTGCCCCAAGGAGATGACTTTTGAGTCGACTCAAAAGTCACCTCCAGTGCCCCAAGGAGAAACTGCAGACGTTCAACGCCAGGGTTAGTGGCAACCAGTGTTTGTACCAAAGCTGGTAACCAGGTGGTAACCAGGTGTAGAACAGGTGGTAGCAGCAGCAGCACCTACAGCAGCAGCAGCGGGTGTGTGCTTCCTGTGCGGCGAGCCGGGCCACAAGGACTTCCAGTGCCCCAAGGAGAAACTTCAGACGTTCAACGCCAAGGTATGTCCCACTAAGAGCTGGTAACCCCGTGGTAACCATGTGGTAGCAAGAGGTAGGGCAGGTTGTAACCCTATGAGCTCAACCACGAGCCAGGTCACAAGGACTTCCAGTGCCCCAAGGAGAAACTGCAGATTTTCAATGCCAAGGTCAGATGGTAACCAGAAAGTAACCTGATGGTAACCAGAAAGTTACATGATGGTAACCAGAAAGTAGCCTGATGGTAACCAGAAAGTAGCCTGATGGTAACCAGAAAGTAACCTGGTGGTAACCAGGTAAGGATTCCCAAACACCAATGTGTGATGGCTGTCAACGCTCCTGCCTATGCCTTCAAGATTCTTAAAAGTAATCACCTGTATTGATTTTTTTCTGTGTCTGCCTGTGTTGTTGCCCATGTGTGGTGGTGATTGCAGGTCACATGTGCCATCTGCGGAGATGGAGGCCATCCGACCGTTGATTGCCCCAGGAGGAGGGCTGGAGGGCCACCGGTATGTGCCCACCCCTCTCCTAGTCTCGCCACCTTTCTCTCCCGTGCATGTTTCTCTGTCTGCCTACCCCTCTCTTCCTCCCTCCTCCATCCGCGGAGATGGAGGCCATCCGACCGTTGATTGCCCCAGGAGGAGGGCCGGAGGGCCGCTGGTATGTGCCCGTCCCTCTCTTCCTCCTCTCTGCCTGCCTACCGCCCTCTTCCTATGTTTTTTTAGAATTCTCAAAAAACAGATTCAGCCCTCTTCCTCTCCTGCCTGGCTTGCTCTCGCACGTCGTTTTTCTTCCCCTATCTTCCCAGCACTCTCCTCCTCCTATCGTCCTACCCCTCTGTGTCCTTGGTTTCTCACGTTGGCTCCTTGTGGCACCTTTTCCGCTTGTTGGTCTTGTTCGTTCCTAAGTATCTTTCTCTCTCTCCCTCCTTCCACAGGGCAAGAGCATAGACTAAAAATATCATTGCTTCCTCAACTGTTGTCCTTCGTCTTATTCTCTTCCACCCCTCTTCCTTCCCTCTCTCTCTCCTTCTGCTTCCTCCCACAGGGCAAGGGCATGGACCAGGAGCATTGGTCCTTCCTCAACGAAATCAACGCTGGCACTGGCGGACGCTCCTTGTCTCGCATCTACTTGTCTCCGTTTCCCTCCCCGGTTCTCCCCTCTCCCTCTTCCCTTCCTCAGGGCAAGGGCATGGACCAGGAGCATCAGTCCTTCCTCAATGAAATCATATCCGGCACCGGTCGGCTCTGCGTCTCTTACCAGCTGCTTACCTTTTCCCGTCCCCCTCTCCTGTGCTCCCCTCTCTCTCCTTCCTCCTCCCACAGGGCAAGGGCATGGACCAGGAGTATGAGTCCTTTCTCAATGAAATCAACTGCTGGCCGGGCCTGGTTGTAGTGCCTATCTCACCCTCCCCCCCTGATGCTCCTCCTCCCTCCCAACTCTTCCTCCCACAGGGCAAGGGCATGGACCAGGAGTATGAGTCCTTTCTCAATGAAATCAACTGCTGGCCGGGCCTGGTTGTAGTGCCTATCTCACCCTCCCCCCCTGATGCTCCTCCTCCCTCCCAACTCTTCCTCCCACAGGGCAAGGGCATGGACCAGGAGTATGAGTCCTTTCTCAATGAAATCAACTGCTGGCCGGGCCTGGTTGTAGTGCCTATCTCACCCTCCCCCCCTGATGCTCCTCCTCCCTCCCAACTCTTCCTCCCACAGGGCAAGGGCATGGACCAGGAGTATCAGTCCTTCCTCAATGAAATCAACGCCGGCAGTGGCGGACCGGACGGGAGGGGCGATGGGAGAGGGGATGGAAGAGGTGACGGTAGGGGAGATGGTAGGGGGGATGGCAGGGGGGACGGCAGGGGGGATGGCAGGGGGGACGGCAGGGGGGATGGCAGGGGCGACGGCAGGGGGGATGGCAGGGGCGATGGCAGGGGTGGTTATGGAGATCGGAGGGGTGGAGATGGGTACAGGGGTGGTGGTGATGGGTACAGAGGCGGGGACGGGTACAGGGGTGGGGATAGTTACAGTCGTGGTGGTTACAGCGACAGCGGTTATGGTGGTAACCGCGGGGGGCCAGGGGGAGGGGGGGGAGCGCCAGGGGGAGGTTCTTACCCCCCGGGGCGGGGTCCCCCAGGGGGTCCGCCCCCCGGGTCCTACCCCCCGCCAGGCATGGGCGGACCTCCCCCCGACCGCCCCGCGCCCTCGTCCTTCCCCCGCCCGTTCGCCCCAGGGCAGGGTCCCACCGGGATGCCAGGTCAGCAGCCAGGTCAGCAGGGAGGAAACGCGTACAGCTACGTGGGCATGCCAGGTCAGCCGCCCATTCGCCCGAGCTTGACTCCTGGTCCGCCTATGGTCCCCCGGGGGCAAGGTCCCCCGCCTGTGGGGGGGTATCCTGCAGGGGGGGCGGGGGGAGCGCCCCCGCCTGGGGGCCCGGGGGGAGCGCCCCCTGCCCCAGGCCCTGGGGTGTACGGTCAACAGCAGCAGCAGCCGCCACCGCCGCAGCAGCAGCTGTCTCAGTACCCGCAGCAGCCGCAGCAGCAGCAGCAGTACCCTCCTCCCCAGCAGCAGCAGGGGTACCAGCCTCAGCAGCAGCAGCCGTACGCGCCGCCACATCAGCAGCCGGGTCAACCGAGTCAACCCGGTCAACCGCCGTCCAGCCAGCCGGCCTGGGGGGATGATCGCGCCAGCAAGCTGCCGAGAATGGACGGTGGGCCGACAGACGCCCCTTCCTCCTACCCGCCGCCCCAACAGCAGCAGACAGGACAGGGAATGCCGCCCCGGCAGCGCACGGGGATTGGGTACCAGGCTCCTCCTCCTGGTCCGTCTGGGTACGGCCCTCCCCGCCCCGCACCTGGGTACGGACCTCCCTCTGGACCTCCCGCCGTACCTTCTACCGGACCTCCATCCGGACCTCCCTCCGGTCCTCCCGGGCCATCTGGACCAGCCGGGTATGGCCCTCCTTCCGGACCTTCTTCCGGACCTCCCTCAGGACCTCCAGGCCCATCTGGTCCGGGGTATGGGGCACCACCGCCAGGCCCGTCCACTGGGCAGAGCTATGGGGGCGCACAGGGGCAGGGGTATGGTTCCGCGCAGGGGTCTAGTGCGGTGCAGGGGTATGGGCAGGGGCCGGCGCAGGGGTCCGCGCAGGGGCAGGGGTATGGGTCCGCTCAGGGGCAGGGATATGCGCCTAGCTCAGCTTATGCCCCCCCTTCTTCCGCTGGTCAGCAGTATCCGCCGCAGCAGCAGTCTCCCCAGCAGCAGCAGCAGCAGCAGCAGCAGCAGCAGTATGGGATGGCACAAGCAGGAGGAGCAGCGCCCGCTCCCCCCGCCTTCCCCCCTCCGCCGCAGCCCAGCTCCCCCCCGCCCCCGCCTCCGCCTCCGCCCAGCAGCGGGGACTCCCCTCCTCCGCCCCCGCCCACAGACCAGCCCGCGCCCCCGCCCATGCCCCCTACTGCGGGCGCCTATGGTGCTCCGTCGTGGCAGCAGCAGCAGCAGCAGCAGCAGGCGCCTCAGCAGCAGCAGCAGCAGGGTGGCGGGTTTTATCAACCCCAGCAGCAGCAGCCCCAGGCAGGCGGGTTTGCACCAGGAGGAGCAGCAGCAGGGGGAGCAGGAGCAGGAGGGGCAGGAGGTGGAGGGCCGGGTGCAACTGGGCCTGGGATGGGGGGACCAATGGGGGGAGGGATGGGCGGACCAATGGGGGGAGGCATGGGCTATGGCCCCCCCAGGGGCCCGCCTACGGGGCAGCCGCCTTTCACCCCTCCCGCTGGCGCTCCCCCTCCCTACATGCCCGGCCGCCCCCCTATGCCAGGTAGCGGTTTTGGTGGTAACCAGTTCGCACCTCCCCCTCAGTGGGGGCCTGGTCCCCCCCAGGGGTTCGGGGGACCTGGTGCTCCCCGCCCTGCCTGGGGACCCGGGGGAATGGGGGGACCAGGGGGGATGGGGGGACCCGGGGGAATGGGGGGACCTAGGGGGCCCGGGGGAGCTCCCCCTTCCCCCTTTGGCCCTGTTGGCGCTCCTGGGTATGGGCTAGGGGGTCCGCCTCCCCCTTTCCCTGGGGCTATGGGGGCGCCCAGGTTCCCTGGTCCGGGTGGTTACCAGCCGGGAGGGCCGGGTTTCGGGGGTGCCAGGCCTCCTGCCCCGCCTGCGGCTGGAGGGGGACAGGGAGAGGCAGAAGATGCAGAGTATGAGAAGCTGATGGCATCGATTGGGGTGCAGTAGAGGCTGCTAGGGGTACTCCTCCCCCCTATGGCCCTGGTGGCACTCCGGGTATGGGCTAGGGGGTCCGCCTCCGCCCTTCCCTGGGGCTATGGGGGCGCCCAGATTCCCTGGTCCGGGTGGTTACCAGCCGGGGGGTCCGGGTTTCGGGAGTGCCAGGCCTCCTGCCCCGGCCTGTGGCTGCAGGAGGGTAGGGGGAGGCAGATGATGCAGAGTATGAGAAATTGATGGCGTCGATTGGGGTGCAGTAGAGCATGCTTGGGGTGCTGAGTCTGTGTCTGATGGCTGCGACTCCCCCGGGTGGTTACCAGCTGGGAGGGCCGGGTTTCGGGGGTGCCAGGCCTCGTGCTACGTCTGCCCCTGCGGCGGGACAGGGAGAGGCAGAAGATGCCGAATATGAGAAGCTGATGGCGTCGATTGGGGTGCAGTAGATGGGAGAATTGATGCGGTGGAGTGGCTGGCTGTGTCAGAGGGATGTCTGGTGTGTATGTGGGTGGCCCAGGGAGGTGAAAATTGACGGGCAGGACCAGGTTACTTAGCAGGTTACATGGGTTACAGGCAAAGAGAGGTGGAGGGTATGTGTATGGGAAGCTGATGGCTAGAAAGCTGATGGGGTGTCTATTGGTGTGAGCCTGTGCAGCAGGGACAGGAGGCAGGGGTAGTTTGTGGGAGACGGTCAGTCAGCAGCAGAGTTGCTGCCTAATTGGTGAAGGCTCGTGTTTTTTATTTTTTCCTGTGGAGGAGCTGGATAACATGCTTGCTAGCACGTCTTTCTTTTCTTCGCTTGTCTGCGTTAAACCTAGTTTGCTCTTTTTTTGCTGGTGGGTGGGTATCAGGGCTAATTTTTTGTTTTGAGCAACCCTTGTGATAAGTGTTGCACCTGTTCAAAAACCTGATTATCAGTGTGACAACTTCAAACCCTGATCCATCAGCGTTATTCTTGTTTTTGAAAATCCAACCTTGTGGCATCAGTGTACCAGTTTAGCAAGCCCTGATGAATTGATATTATCGTTGCACACATTAAGAACAAAAAAAACAGAAAACAAGAGGCGACGAAATCGTCTTAGGGTTGCGAAGCGTTTTGGTAAAATTATCAATATAGATTGTGAGATTCTTAAATATATTATAATATATGTGTGAAACAACTGTGATAATATGCACACTGGGAATCGAACCCAGGAACTTGGGATCAGGAAACGTGGTAAACCACTGTACTAAGGCATCTGTTAAACATTTTATGTAATATATAATTAATCTTGTACTTCTCAAGAACATCCGTAACAAGCACGGAAGCCCGCAAAAATCGACCTCACGACCTTTCATTTGCCAGATGAAACTAACTCGACTATACTACCTGGCTTCAACAGATGTCTCACGCAATCATTTGTATCCGTATCCTTTGCGGCGAAGTCAGCACACCTTAGGGTTTCAATTGTTTCTTCTCGCTCACTTCCTCTCGCTCGTTTCTTCTCCACAGCAGAGGCTTGTTCTTACCTTGGCTTCTCTGTAAGACACCACATGGGTATGTTGCTTTATCTCCTAGATTGCATCTTAGTGAGCTAGAGGAAGTATCTACGGTAGTCGTCTTCACATAGTTTCCTTCGCTTTCGTTTTCACTTATGCCACTTCTCTCATTTCGTTTTTTGTTTTCCTGGTCGTAATTTTCATTTGTCCTCTACTTTAATTTCCACCTCCTTGCTCATTAGTCTGTTTTCTTTATTCCTTTCTCATGCGTTCCTACTTTTCGTAGTCTTCACGCTTAATCTCTTGTGTACCTTCTCACCTCCAGTTCATTTAGGCTATGTCTTTCCAGATCTATCTATTTCGTTTTCTCCTTTGCTCCTTTCTTACACTGACGACTCCTCCATTTCCATTTAAGTACCGCGTAACCTGATTCTGATTTTATTACATCCTTTGCGTTTGCGTTTGCGCCTGTGGTTCTTGTTGCCGTGGCCGTAGACTACAAGAACGTCGTCGTTCAGATATGTAGAACCGCCGTGGTGAGTTCTTGCTTTTCTCCGTCCGTTTTTCCGTTTCTTTCGTTTATGTTTCCTTGCTAGTAATTGTTTCCCTTCCTTTTCTTCTACATCCATACTATCGCGTCAATCTTTGTTTCCTTATCCTGGACCTTGTAATCTTGGATTTTCTTTTTTTGCACAATCTTCTCAACTAGAATGGTCGAAAGTAGCGATTCTTTGGTGCAACAATCTTTTGTTCGTAGTTGCATCGATTCTTCGTTCCTCTTAGTTTCTGCACCACCTCGTGTTTCTCTCTTCCCCCTTGCATGTGCTCTCTCTGCTTTCTCTTCGCTAGTTCCAATTCCTTGTCGAACATTAATCACATAGCCTGTTTAGGCTGTAGTGGGGTAGACACTATGGGGTACAGTCTCCTAGGGTTTCATATTTGTACCCAACTCATTTTCTATTCCATCATTCATTCCTCAATTCTCACATGGTATAGAGCGGGTTCCCTACTGGGACCGTTCCTCCCTAAGGGCCCACCGTTAACAGTTTTTTTTTACCTACCTGCCCGAAGCGCGTTTTTCGCTCTGCCCTACCCTTCTTTTTCGCGGCCCCCTAGTGGCCTTTTCTGCCCTACGCGGCCCCTTTGCGGCCCGTTAGCGGCCCCCTTTGCGGCCTCGTCAGGCCCCGTTGCGACCCCGCCCCGTCGCCCTAAGTCGCCCAGTCGCGGCCCCATCGCGGCGCGACCCCGGCCCTGCCCCGTCGCCCATTGCGACCGTGTCGCGGCCCGGCCCCGACCCTGCCCCGGCCCCGTCGTGGCCCCGTCCCGGACCTGCCCCGGCCCCGACCCTGTCCCGGCCCTGCCCCGGCCCCGTCGCGGCCCCGTCCCGGACCTGCCCCGGCCCCGACCCTGTCCCGGCCCTGCCTCGGCCCCGTCGCGGACCCGTCCCGGACCTACCACGGCCTCGACCCTGCCCCGGCCCCGACCTTGTCCCGGCCCCGGCCCCAACCCTTCCCTGGCCCCGTTGCGGCCCCGTCCCGGACCTGCCCCGGCCCCGACCCTGTCCCGGCCCTGTCCCGGACCTGCCCCGGCCCTTCCCCGACCCTGCCCCGACCCTGTCGCGGCTCTGTCCCGGACCCGCCGCGGCCTCGCCCAGGCTCTGTCCCGGCCCTGCTCCGACCCTGCCCCGGCCCTGTCCCGGACCTGTCGCAGCCCTGCCCCGGCCCTCCCTCGGCCCTGCCCCGGCCTCGCCCCTGGTAAGAGCATAGCCGAGCCGAGCCGCGCTGCCGAGCCGCACCGCTCTGCCGAGCCGCCCTGCCGCGCCGCTCTGTCGAGCCGCCCTGCCGAGCCGCGCTGCCCTGCCTAGCAGCGTCGCTTAGCCTAGTTGCACTGCTACTGCTGCTAGTCTGCTGCTGCTCCTGTCATGGCTAGTCCCAGTGTTCTTACCTTTGATGCTGAGGGTCGAGCGGTTGACTTCGATGTCTGGCTAGATGATCTGCAGCTTTTCCTACAGTGCGATAGCAAGGATGGTCTCTCACTGTTCGATCTCACATCTGGCGCCTCTACTGCCCCTGCTGCTGATGTTGACAGTGCTGTTCGCTCGCAGTGGCTCACGCGCGATGCTGCTGCCCGCCTTGCTGTGCGTAGTCACCTACCGTCTACTGAGCGCGCGCACTTTAGTCAGTACAAGAGTGCTAAGACTCTGTACGACGCTGTTGTTGCACGCTACTCTTCCCCTGCCACTGCTGCACTTAGTCGCCTCATGCTACCGTACCTGTTTCCTGACCTCGCCACAGTCACTGACCTCATTACGCACCTCCGCACTAGTGACACCCGCTACCGCGCTGCGCTTCCTGCTGAGTTCTGCGCCAAGAACCCCCCCTCCCATGTACATCACCCTCTACTACCTAGTCACCCGACTCCCTGACACCCTTCGCTCGGTCAGGGACCACTTCCTCTCTCTTTGCCCTACCACACTCACCGTTGACCTCCTCGAGGAGCGTCTCCTTGCAGCAGAGACTAGTATTACCGCTGTAGGAGCCTCTCGTGGTGACCACCGTACCCCTTTCTTTGAGGGGTGCTCCCCCGTTCCTCTTTTGCCCTCCGTTGCCTCTGCTGCTGCTGTCGACCTTGTTGGCACCGAGTCGGTCAGCGCGGCGTCTGCTCCTAGCGAGAGGCGCCGCAACGGCAAGGGCAAGCGGGGCAAGGGCGCTGGAGGAGGTGGCGGGGGAGGAGGTAGTGGCGGTGGAGGCGGAGGAGGGGGTGGGGGTGGGGGCGGAGGCAGAGGTGGGGGCGTCGGTGGCAGCAGTGGCGGTGGAGGCAGCGGTGGCGGTGGCGGTTGGGGTGGCGGCGGCGGAGGCGGCGGCGGTAGAGCTGGTCGAGGCGGAGCTGTGCAGCGGGGACCCCAGCACCAGTCGCGCTCTCATGAGACCCCGTCGCCACAGCAGCTTCGTGAGTGGTACGCAGGGCGCCAGGGGTCTGGGGGTGCTGGTCCCTGTACTTACGTCCTGCGCACCGGCGACCGCACTAGAGAGCAGTGTGGCGGCCTGCACGCCACCCAACGCTGCTTCGGTCGCCTGACTGACGCCTGACGTTCCCAGTTCCCTGACGCCACTGAGATCCCTCGCTGGGGTGATCTGCTCAAGTCGGGTGTAGCTATCTTTGATCTTGACTTTGATGCCATTCTTGCTGCCATGTATGCTGTGTCTATTAGTGCTGAGGGTGACTGCTACGTGTGTGTTCCGCCTGACCCGGGCATTGAGGCTGCTGCTCTAGGTGCTAGTGAGTCTGCTGCTCCAGGTGCTCGTGAGTCTGCTGCTCCAGGTACTCGTGCGTCTGCTCTCTCAGGTACTGCGTCGGCTCAGGTTTTGCACACCTTCACTCTCGACTCGGGTGCTTCCCGTTCCTTCTTTCGGGACCGCACCACCCTTACGCCGCTCAGTCGGCCGGTTGCGGTCTCCTTGGTAGACCCCTCTGGGGGTCCTGTCCTTGCTCGCGTCCGGCGGCCCCGTCAGGCTCCCTGTCCGGTCTCTACCTCCCCT